GGGCAGCTGCGCCGCGGGGGGCAGCGGGACCGAAACGGATGGCTGTGCGGAGCCGGGCCGTGGGGCGGGAGGTGTTGCGCGGGGACCTTGGCGTTTGTCTGGGGTTACTCGCCGCCGGCGGGCCTGGCGCTTGCACCTTCGGCCCCTGTGCCGGGCTGGTGGTGGCTTTGCCGTCCTGTTGAGAAGGTAATGGTAAGTGTGTGTTCGTTGTTTAAGTCCGCTTAGGTGCGGTTGCTTGGTGTTGCGTTGCTGCTCCAGGTGTTTCCAGGCCAGTTTTGTTCTCTATGACCAAGATCATGGACCGTTCCCGAAGAGCCTACCCAGGCATGACCCGGAGGCCTTCCTCCTACCTGTGCAAAGCCACCCCCCCCCCAACCCCCCCCCCCCCCCAACAGAGCCTCTGAGGAGAGCTCTTCTGTCCTTGGTCTGGCCTCTCTGCAGCAGAGTCCAGCCCTTCAAAGCCTAAAAGGTGGTCTGTGAGATCCGTATCTTGTATTGCTCTGTTTTGGGTAGGTCTTGCAGCAGGACAGCAAGTAGAAGCATTACGTAAAAATGTTCTTTGTCAAAGTAGTTCTGGTTTCTTAGGTAGTTCCTGGTAGAGGCATAGGCCTTAAATTAATTGTATACCTCGTACCGGTTATTATAGAAGCTGTTGTTGTTGATTAAGTCAGTTTTTTACATCGCTGTAAGCTGGTATTGCTGTCCATTCATTCTTATCCTCTTCTGCTCCCTTTCTCATACACAAATGTTGATGAGACCCCACGATGTACCAGTGTGGGGAGCTGAGCTGAGGGTGTAGCTCTACAGCAGCCTTAGTCATAGACACTGCTGCTGTCTTACTTTCCTTTCTACCCCAGCTGTGGTTTCTTGTCCCCTGTCTTGCCCCACTTCCACAGTCATTGGAGCTTTTGCTGAGCCATCTACAAGGAAATCTAGCCTAGCAAATCACTGAGTAGTTTTCTGTATGGTTAGTTGTCTGAGCCAATTCAGGAAAGGGCCAAATTAAATGTTTTAACAGATTCAAGGGAGGAAGTAGAAAAAGACTAGGAGGACATTAATTAGTGGATAGATTGGCTTGGGCTACCGTAGGACAACTGTCAAAGTTAAAACTTTTTTTTTTTCCAGTTCAGTCAGTTACAGGTCAGTTACCCAGTATGATACATCAAGTGGCTGTAGAATCAGCTTGTGCTGTCAGAGTTGAAGGGGTGAGTCTGCCTCTTTGGGCATTAATGCTGACTTAAACTGGCTTACAGTGACTGTGGCAGAATGGCATGACACCCTAAAACATTGTTTCTATATAGCAGGATTTAAAGCACAGTGTGTCTTTGTGAAAATAGAAGCTGAAGCAACACCTTGTTTTAATGTCACCTCATCCTTGGGTCCCACATAGGTTGATTGTTCTTCCAGCCACACGACACTTCTGGAAATGCCATCTTAGTGATGCACATCTGTAGTTCTGTCGTGATTCACTCCAGCCCTGCTTTGTTCTGTCACATGGAAAAGAAACAGTTTTTAAAAATCAGAAAGTAGTGTAGAAGTGAAAACGCAAGTCACTAATCTGATCTTACTGTCCTGATTTTGACAATGGAATAGCTTTGATTAGTGCCAGACGTTTAGCAAGCTGTGCCATTATGTTGTTGAGAACTACATCCCATCTGTATTCTCCCTGCTATTAATAGCCACACAAAGATTTCTGTTTGAAGGCAGTGCAGGCCGTAGCTCGAGGCTGGTTTTAGGTGTGCATCTGCCTGGCAAACAACATGGGATGACAGCTACTAAAAGGACTTCGTATCTGTGGAGTCTGGGGGAAAATTTTGCATGTCAAAAACTATGGGGAGAAATAAAATATACATGAAACAATGGAAGTAAAATAGCAGGAAATAGTTTGGGTTTTTTCTGCCTTCCAGATTTGGCACCTGCAAATTCCAGATATCCTTGTGGACAGTGTCACTGGTAATGGCCAGGTGATGGGCAAAATTCTGGACCAGAGAAACCAAAGACAAGGCAAGGTTTGGAAATGTTAGTGGAGTGCGGGAAGGCAGTGATAAATAATGTAGTTTCTAGGTGCAAACAAAAAAGGAGTGTGACAATCGGTGAATTGTAATAGAAATAGAAGAGGTTTTGAGGCCACATCAAGAAGAGAGAAGTTTCTGGGGAAGAGCAGAAGTTGAAAATTATGTCATTTTGTGGTGGAAGTACTGAGTAAAGTGATCTGTACTGCTAGAGTGCATGGCATTTATCTGATGCTCTCTCTCTGCTTATCTGTTGACTAAAGTGCATCTCTTGAAGTTGGCAGAAGATAAAACATCTCTGGTTCTTCAGATCAGGAAATTTCTACTGGAGGAGATCTGGGACTTCAGTTACAGCTGTTGTCATAGGTCTCAGACTCAAAGCCAGAAGGATTCTGGCACTGTGTGGGATGGTGCTTCTCCAACATCAGTCTTGAAAACATACTGAAGTTCTCATCAGAAACCCCCTTGATTGTATTTTTTGCTTCAAAGTTCCCATCCACTCTCCATTTGAACTCTGGTTTTGGTTGGGGCTTTATATATATATGTATGTATGTATATATATTTGTTGCACTTCATTTTTCTGTCAAGCACAAATAAATATTTTGTTTCCCACTTGATGAAAATACTCTTTCCTGCATTCTGATAGACTTCAAACTTGCTAAAATATGCCAAAGAGTGTCTTAGTGCTCAGGGATCAGCAACGTGTGCGCCAAATGTAGCTTACAGCATCCACAATTCCAGTAGAGCAGAAACCCTAGGACAGCAAAAATGCTCACAGTTGTGTTGACATATCTTATATCTCTATGAAAGTTTTTTAAAAGTTGAATCCTCTGGGATCCACCAAGCCAAATCAAAATTTTAGGCTCACAATTCAAATTCTAGAATGTATATATGCTGTTTAACAGTCCTCCAGCATAAACATACCATGTTTCAATGCTGTCATCAGTATTGGGAACTAGTACTTGACTTCACATTCTGCTGCTGATAATTAGCATTGTTCTCCACTTTCTTAACTTTCCATTGTGGTCCTTGCTGTCTTTACAATCACAGCTTTGTACAAACATAACGCTCATTTTGTTAATGCTGAACTAGCAAAGTCCCAAATTTCCTGTCTTTGCAGGAGACCTGTAAAAACATACAGGGAAACAACAGTATAAAAAGAATTCTTTATCATATTCATAATATGGTATTTTCTTGAGCAGACTCTTCTAGGACATAGAATGTCCATGCTGTGGCTGAAGGAATAGCATATCCCAGATACTGTAAATTTAGTTTGCCTGTGTTGTTGGTGACAGTGTAGCCACAGAAGCACAGAGCTAAATGCAGTCTGTGAAATCTGCCTGGGACCTTGTCAGGAGTCTATGTGGATTGCACTCCCTGCTGCTGTGGCAACGCTGTCGTGAGATCACCCGGCTAGTAGGTGTCCCAGCTAATCTAACGCTAGTTCAAGCATCTCTGCAAGCCATGGTGTTTACCCATGTTGGGTAAACATGCTGGTAGAAACAAAACACAATATGGAAACTGCGTAGCAGATGATGTGTTTTGTATTTGGGTAATACACATGCTTGCCTGTGTTATGTATGCTTTCATTACAGGTTTTATTAACCTTAATCTTAGCAAATACCCTTTTAACACAAGCACCTTTCATAATCAGTGAAGATATGCTTTGATAGTCAGATATAAGATCTAAATTCCAGATTTATGTTGTATTCATGAAAAGGAATTGCGAAGTTCTTTTTTCCCTTTAGAGTGAAATTTGACATTAGTCCTTAGAGATCCTTATTGTTCTTACACAGTTCTAATTCAGATTGAGATTCTCTTTGAATGTCATATTGCAATTGCTAGATATCAACTTAAGGGATTTAAGTGATGACATCCTTCTTAATTTTTTGTTTTGAGCGAGCAACCTTAGTTATGCTACACATCAGAGCAATGTTACTTGTTGATACAATGAACTTGACTGTAATAGTTTTGTTTTAAAAATGAACCGGCATATCACGCCCAGATAAAAACAGGTTAGACAAGACACTTTCCTCTTTTTAAGGAGTATAATTTTACCAGATTTCAGTTGCTACTTTTCAATAATATTGAATTCTGTCATCTTCAATCTTGCAAACAAATCTGTAAGGCTTCAAAATTAAATGGCAGCAGGGTGTTCAGTTTTGTGATAAGTATCTGCATCAGTAATAATTGAAAGAGAGACTGATGATTCCCGCTTTTACAGTGGCTTGTTTTGGAAAGCTTTGTTTTAGTGGGCTGTTAGGAGAGCATCTATTCAGCAGCTGGCTGTTAGACACAGGACTCAGTAACTTAGGAAACACTACTGAGCCTTTTTCTTTCTAATTTTTCTCATAGGCATAACAAAGCAGTGAAGAGAAACTGAAGGAAGTATTACGTCTTACTGATCAGAAAGCTGTTTCTGAATTATTTGGACAAGCTTCATACATATGTAGTAAAATCTAAAAAGGTAGGATATCTTCCTTTTCTGTTTTATTTAGAAAACCTCATAACTAATGAAAAACTCTTTCATGAGTCCCAGTGGGGTTACAAAAGTATGCTAAGGAGGAATGCAAAGTCTAAAACATTTTCTTTAAGTGAGTTCTGTGGAGTCTTGCCAAATTCTACTAGGCTTTTCATGGTAGGATTTTGGTGAGGGCAGGTTGCCTGTTAGTTCTTCAAAAAACTTCCAAATCCATCTAAAGGGTACTCAGTTTTATAAAATAGACCCTGTAGGAGAAGACAGTAGCTCTTCATGATTTCAGGGTTAGCTGCTGTGGTGGCTCCCAAATATTAAGTATTTCTCTAGGCATGTGGAGATTTCATGCTGTTCCCTCTGGAATGGAAGTCTATAGTGAGTAGAGAATCTTAACCTTTTTTTTTCAGTATGAAAGCAACACATTAAGTGATGTGCAGTTCATAAATACAAAATCTGCTGGCTGAAAGTACCAGTACAGCTATTGTCTGTAAGGACACTGTTTTGTAAGTTTGTTAGGCATTATGTAAAAGGCATTAAAGTGGAAAGCAAACATTTGCATTTGAACTTCTATGATGTTTCTGCTTCAGGTAGAATTCAAGTAAATAGAAACTATAGGTTTCACAGTGGCTGATAGAACTATGTTCAATAACAGAGTTCAGAACAAGCGTGGCTCACATATCTGCTTAAGTCTTTGCTTTCAAAATTCGGAGAATCTTGATACAAAATTGGGCTTCTGACATCCAGCAGTACAATCCTCAAATTCTTAAAGTCTCCAAAGTATGTAAGTGTTTGCATTCTCACCTGTAAAGTTCTGTATTCATGTTAAGTTCTCCATATTTCTAGAATTGCTTCCAGGCCTTTTTGTGGATCTAGCCATATGGATTCAGGACAAAGATTGCTTTATTTCTCTGTGTTGTTTTAATAGGTTGAAACTGTGTGGAGAGCATGGGTTATGATATTGAGCGTTTCGTTGGCTACGTTAATGAAGGGCTATTATGCTCCATCTGCCGCGATGTGTTAGAAGATCCATTACAGGCTCCTTGTGAACACGCTTTCTGTACTGCTTGTATACATGGATGGCTTGTTCATCACAGTAACTGCCCTGAAGACAGACAAATGATTGACGTATCTTTGCTACGACCTCTCTACAGGTATACAGTAATCTTGCTGTATGTTGAAATTACATGAATTTAGGATTTCTCACCTTTGCTTGCACAGCTTCATCTCTTCTCATTTTCTGTCACTCAAATTGCCTTAACTCAATATGCCTATGGCAGAAACTGATCACTTGCATGAAAGCATTAGCATTTTCTGTTTATTATAACTAACTTTCTAGGTATTAACATTTCAAAGTGGAAATAACAGTTTATTCTCCACATGCTGATTCTAGATATCTGTCTGGATTTTACTCTGAATGTCTTCTACAGCACCAAAACTTTCCCATACCTTTTTAGAGAAAGCAGGCAAGGCAAGTCTTGACAACAGCAGTCACTAAACACTTTATCTTTTGTTTTTCTTTTCAGTCTTACCTAGATACTGTAGTGGGGTTTGTAATTAATAATTCCTGTAGATATGAACCAAACTTCTCACCTTCCAATCCTTTTTCAAAACGGTCTTCACCCATAAGAATACCTGTCTTGAGCCACCTTGTCATGTAAAGCAGGCTGTTTTCACAAGTGTCTTCCATAATTGGTCAGGCAGTTGGACTAGATGATCGTTGTAGGTCCTTTCCAACTGAACTATTCTGTTCTATTCTATTCTATTCATTCCTGCTATTGCCAGCACACTTAGAGTTTCATCAGTAGACACTGCTTGCTGTTTAACCCCTGCACTGTCTAATCTTGCTCAGATTAACAGTTATGTTGTGTTTAAAACCTTCAGCCACAGGTGTTAAATTAACTCCATTAGTACTCTCAGTATTTTTGTCACTAAGGAGATTTTACTGTATGGAAAATTGAAGTATAGTGTAGACAGAGCCCTGGAGTTTAATTTATAGATTGTTTTGTCTGTACTCACTGTAGTCAGTTTGATTTGGCATGGTTAGAAACACAAATTAAAACTTAAATGATCAATGAGTAGCCTAAGTGTTTGTTATTGGTAATATCTGCTGAGCTAGTGAAAGATTTATTCAAATTCAAAGTTAAAAATTTATTAAGAAATAAAGAATTCATTTGCATATTTAATTTTGGAGACTGAATTTTCCTCTAACACTTTTTCTTTTAATGCTGTTCTTTTCCCATACGGTCACTTGAATTCTAATAAAAAAGAATTAAACTGATTATTCACAAGTTTTCCTAATGGAAACTAGAATCTTACTTTCTTTTCCCGAAAGTTGAAAATACAAATTTTTCAATAATGTTTTCCAATTTTTTTTTCTTTTTTGCACGTAGATATATGAGAAATGATTTAAACCGTCTTCAGCTACATTGCAAAAACAGAGAGTATGGCTGGGAAATGGTTTGTTCACTGGAGTCTATAGACAGGCATGAAAGAGAGTGCGAATACAGTCAGATAGCTTGCTCCAATGCCGGTGAGTAACATTCAAAGAAGTTGAATCCTTTATATTCAGAAAACATGTGTTTGTCATCTTTCTGTCAACAGAATGGCAATAATGGCCATTGTTTCCAAACAGAAATTCAAAGCTTTAGCGTGATCTACTCTTTACAGCACTTTTTGAACAAAATTTGTTACCAATTTATGGCAATCAATCATGATCATTAGCAACAATTTCTTATCCGAGAACTAAGCAAAATGAATGAGAATGATGGACTTCAAATTTATGAAAATATAATAGTGCATTTGCTTTGCTTTCTGTCAAGTTATGAGTTTGTATTTCAATTTTGACTGTTTGTTTTGATGTTTGCAATAGCACCTACAGAACACTTAGGGATCACAATTTATTTAGAAAACAGCTGGTTGCCTGGTGCATGTGCAGCTGCTCACTGTCTCGTGGTTTTAATAAAAATGTGTCTTGGAAATGAGAATTGTTTTAAGCTAAATTCTGGTTAGAATTGTTGTGTTCATGTTAAGATCTTTATTTAAAACAAACCTACACCTCCTGAGGAAGAAACGTAACTGCTAAAGAGAAACATACTGTTAAAACTTCCCAATAGCTTTTATTCAAAATGTCATATGTTCCTAGACAAAGTTAATTTCTAATTAATGATGCTAAGGGCATAGTCAAGTCTGCCATTGTAAGCTAAATAAGCTAATTGTAATTAATTACTATTGTAATTAATAGTAAGAAGATTCAGGTGCTAGAATTGCTCCACTGGAAGTTATAATTTCTCTCAGCAGTAAGTGACTCCTGCAGCTTCTTCAGATTCACCTGTTTTACTTTCTACAGAAACAATAGCATTTATAGAGTTACCACACCTTATCTCTGATATCTGGTGTTCAGGGTGTGAGGGCTTTTACATCTCTTGAACTCTTCCTCAAGAATACATCGGAGTGTATTTTGAGTACCTCAATTACAAATCATTCTGTTTATTAGTAAAGCTCTCCTAGAGGGCTGTCTTTTGTAATTTTCTGGTGTGATTTGTTGGCAAGTTTCATTGCTCCGTTGTTTCAGTTTTCTCACATCAATTTTATCTTCAAATTAAATGTAAGGAGCTATAGTATGTATTACAGCAAACAGCGCCTCAAAGATTAAAAGTTAAGACTACAAACTTCAAATTTAGAGGGTAAAATGTAGCAATAATTTATATATATAGTGTTCATTTTTGGTTCTCTACAATTTACTTTTAATCACTACAGATTTGTAAAGTTTGTATCCTAGAACTTATGCGGAAACGTTTCTATTTTTGCATCAGTTATTAAATGTTCATAAATAAATGTTCTTGTTTATTTATGTGGTCTAGTATGTTACACACAAGACCAACCAATGGTCAGGAAAACAAGGTTACATTCCATCTCACCCACATCTCTCTTACTATGTGTCTTTGGACCTTTTTTCCTAAATTTGATAACCTGATTTTTTTTTTTTTACACATGTGCATTCTTCTTCAATTCCAGTCACTGCAATCTGTGGTGAAAGCACAGGCAAGCTGCTAGAGTCTTAGCTTGGCATCAGTGTTGTCATTACTGAAGTTGCTTTAATGCCAGACCGGTGGTAGAAGACTACAGAAAATCCCTACTTTCAGTTTTTCAGTATTTTCAGTTAAATGATAAATATTTTAATAAGGCTTTTTAAAAGTGTTTTATTACTAGTTATGTATGTTATAACTATCACATTCCACGTTCTAAATAAATCACTTTTTTCATTGCTTTAACAGACTGACAGTTGCTTAGCTCAGGATATTGCAGCTTGCTTGCTTGAGTGTTTTTGTTTGGAATTAATTAAAATGCTTTTGTTAGTTGTTAAATGACTGACTGACCTTACTGTTCCCTGTTCAGGTTGTACAGTTCAGATTGAACGACGTAACTTAGATGGTCACCTGGCAGTGTGTGAATATCGGAGCCGTGAATGCCCCAACGGTTGTGGTTACACCATTCTCAGTGCAGAAGACACACAGCATAATTGTGTAGCAGAGCTAAGAACCGAGCTAGAACTCCTTCGGTACAAATCTTCTGTTTCTTTGATGTTTGTGTTAAGTCTGGGCTTTAAAATCCCTGCATAAAGCACTTCAAATACTAGCACTGGATTCCGGTATGTGTTAAATAGTCTGTTAATTACTTGATACTAATGGGCCAGAGTATTATTATGTGTCAGCATAGACTTTAAATTCTTACTGTTTTGATTTTTTTGCTGTTACTTTTTTTGTCCAAGTTATCATAAATCCTAAAATTCCATCGCTTGCAGTTGAACTGCAAGCTGACTATATAAAATGACAAAATACCTAACAAGAACTGGAATGAAGTTGGCAATTTCATTTTTCCATTGGCCTGACATAGACCCAAAATCACGTTATTTAATAATTATGTTTAGTTTATTTTTTTTTTTTTACAAATTCTGAAGATAAAAATCTCTCATTATTTTGGCAGGTACAGACTGGTAGATTAAACCTCTGAAAATCTAATTTTCAATTTTTATTAAAATCCTGGCAGATTAATAACAGTTGGTGAATATGACTCTTCTTACCGGCATCCTCTTTTTCCTCTTATGTATGTTTCTGTAGCTTTCCCTTTCCATGGTGTTCCAGTTGGACTGTTTTTTTCCCATGCTCCTTCCTGTTTCTGTCTTTCAACTCAGTGTCTAAGTCTTGTGTTGAACGTTGCTGTGAAGTCAGGCTCAAATCTGTTTTAAATGCATTGAGACACAAGAGATTCTGCTACCTAGTTTCTGAACTCAAAAGGCTAATGTAGTAACAGCTAGGTTTTGGCTGTGAATCTGTGTGAGTGATCAGGTTATAATAATTTACTGCATACTATCATTTAGTGTCCACCATAAAAGTACATGTTTAGCAATACTATAGTATTCACACTTTTTATCTTGACTACCTGTGCTTAGTAATACTAAGCAAGCACATACTATAAGTAAAAGGCAGTAAATCATTTAATGTCATAAATACATGATCTTGAGCTCATAGAATTATTTCAGGAATATGATACAGTTTTTCCCTATACAGTCTGTCTGTGGTCACTTTAGTGCCCCCTGGACACAATGCACTTCTTTATGCTAGTTTTATTTAAATTAATGAATAGTACTATCATGCCTCTAGAGAGGTGTCGAGTATGATGGGAATCGGATTGGGCTGTTTGGCTGCAAGCAGGCTTTCTGGAATTTGAAAATCGGTTTTTTCCGTGCTACAAGACCTAACAAGCAGGAATAAACGTTTTAGGTCAGAAATGATCTGCAGAGTGGAGGAGGCAAAACATGAGATGGAGTCAAGGTTAGATTCACAGAGAAGGCATATGGTCCAAAAAGAGAGCATTCTGCAAAATGAAATTGAAGAACTAAAGGTAAATATGATTGTTTTATTTTCTTTTTTTTCCCTCTCTTAACAGTCTAGCTTTTTGCTTTTCCCAGTAGTAGTCTCTTATTTTGCAAATGTAGTCTCATACAGATGAGAATTACATTAAGTATGGGAAGCAAAACAGGTGTTTGCACCATGCTTTGCCTAGGCTTACCAGCTCTGTTGAGAAGCAGGCTAAGTGCTGTATTCGTGTGGTTTTTCTGCTTCAAATTCTTCTGGAGCTAACCTGTACCAGGGCTGCATTGTTCTGTGTGTACGTAACATGTTGGCAAATCAGTCTGAAACTCATTTTTCAGTGTCTAAACATAGGGCATACATCACAAATCAGATGTAATTAAATATCCAGCTCCTTTTTTAGTGCTGTCCAAAGTGGCTTAATCCAGTGCTGACACAGAGCAGACAGTGGTATTTACACTGTGGTTCAGCTGTGGTCAAAAGGTTGGAAAGTTGCACTGTGAACTTAATCAAGTAACGAGCAAGGCCGTCTTGTCTTTTCATTTATCCAGTTCTTCCTATATCACAGAAATTTATGTGCTTTATAGTTTACATTTTTATTTTTACTGGATTTGATGTTAAATCCTTGAACAATATATCTGAACATAACCAAAACCTTATTTTGGTTGGGGTCTTGAAATACAAAATTTAAGCAGCAACTGGATAAATCCACTGTTTCTTATTATACTTTATAAGAAACTTTTTGCACTTTTAGGAAAACTGTATTGGAATCTTTGAAACAAGACCATCTCAGAGAGTGAATGCTGGATTGTGTCTCAAATTGTTTACATTTGTTCCGCTATCAAAAAGTTATTTCAGTGTGGCTTATTCTTTATAATCCGTCACCCTATATGCATGGCCAATTCAACGTCATACCACCATCATTAGAAAAGAGTTTGTTTCTTGCAGTAAATTTGTATTTGCATTTCAGAGTCAGATGTCACGAATGATGTCAGATGTACGCTCTCTGATGGCTGCAGAGAGACAGCACCGTCAAGAACTGGAGCAGGCAGAGCTGGAAAAACGGGAATTAATGGAGCTGCTGAGGGGGCTGCAGAAGGACTGCCGATTAACTACTACAGAAGGAAGCAGGAAGTCAACAAATTTCCGCCCTCTAGCACGACTAGAGAGTGTAAAACGAAAACCTAGGGAAGTTACAGTTATCTAAACAAAAGTAAGCTCAAAAAGCATTTTCTTCTAATTTCTGTGACCGTCTGGCAAACTTTTCTACTTTCTATGAATGATGGGTAAACTGTATATCATTTCTGATTTACTTGTTTTCTTTTTAAATCTAGATTACTACTTTATTTCCTCTTGGGGAAGAAAAACAAATGGGGGAATTTTCTCTTAGGGAACACTGGGCATTAAAACCAGTAATTGGCAAATATCTTTTTAGCTAATGTTTTTATAAAAAGGGGGAAGGAGACTTGATTTGTTATCTCTTCAGTGCATCGTTACAGGAGTCTTTCAAGCCTGAAAGCTAGAGCCTTTCAAAGTCAAAGATACTCAAAGGTTGTTTCCTTCCTGGTCCATTATAGTACATTTAAGTCTAGTTTACGCTTATACTTGAAACAGAAAGAAAATGTGATCATCAGTAATGACATTTGGGATGTACTTAATTTTGGGAAAAGTCAGTAATAGAATTAGTAAGTCAGAAATTAATAGATTTTGTTTGTTTATAGTCTGTAGAAGGGCTATTTCAGAGGTGGAAAGAAAGCACTTTAAATTGTAATTCTACTGCTATGTAAGAGCTTCAGGTGAGGTTGACTTTTACTTTAGAGCTTCTTTAGCTTCCCAGGCTGATACACACTGAAGAGACTAATACCAAAGCCCAAGGTCATCTAAAACCTTTTAAATAGATGTGTGAGTAACTTGGAGTTTGTGGGAGGGATCTGCATTTTATTTAAAAATTTGAAGCTTTTATATGTGAAAGTATCAACTATTTCTACAGGGTCCTTTAAGCTTAAGACCAGCCCATTTGGTACTCAATATCTTTAAAGCATATGTAAATACCTTGAGTATCCTTAATTTTCTTTTGGCAGGTTTAAGGCTACTTGAACATTAATATCCACAACAGACGAGTATTTGCACAGTCACTTGGACTTCGGACGTCTTTATTAGTACTCAAGTTTGCAACGGTGTAAGAGCTAGCATTTTTTAACAGACCCACAAATACTGAATCAAGGGGGCATTTATCTGTAAGGACTGCATAAGAAATCTGTACAGTTCAAAGACTTTTCTCTAAACTTCTCACACAGCCTGTTCATGTTGTTTTCAGTGCTATAACTAAGCCATATTCTGTCCTCTGTTGCAGCTCTTCAGTGGAGTAACTAGGGGAGAACCTGTCTTCCTGTTTACTGAATGTGCTAAATCACTTTTGAACTTTCAGGAAAATGTGTGCAGGTGCAAAAATCTGAATAAGCTAATTTTGTAGTTTAGAAAGCAACTACCTTACAGTGCATGCCTTGCTGTCACTCAGAGCAATGCTTTTATGGCTAACAGCATAACCAAAGAGAGAGGCAGCAACCTTCTTTAGCACATACACTACGTTATGAAGACTTGTGGTCAGAGCTGTATTAATTTCAGGCATTAATAAATCCTTCTGACTTGCTGTTCCTTTAGTACCGCTGAAGCAGATGCGCACATGTTCAGGGCTTGTGCATTTAAAAAACTGACAGAAATAACTCTTCTGTAAAAGTTGGTCGGGTTTTTTTTCTGAAAGAAAACATTCGTAGGAAGAGTTATGTCCAAATATTTACTTGTTTTCAGTCCTTATATTCTAGATTAAATTACAATCATTGACAGTATTTAGGTCACTATAGCAGTCTCACCAACTCATGACATAGCACATCTCTTAAGCAGCCATATTTAACAATCTGAAACAGTAAAACAGTAGCTATAATTTGGGAAGACCTTCATTCACACTAAACATTCAGTGGTCAACTCACGTACATCAGTGTGCATATTAAAGCTGTAGGTAGAAAGTAAGAATGCTTTTATTATCCTGTGTTCTAAATAAGCAAGCTGTTAGTGTCTGTGGTCTGTGTCTATTTCAGCATTCACACTAATTTTGAAGCTTCTTGGCAACGCCAGATTTCATGCTATTAGAATCAATATATTTTCAGGATGTGCTTTTCTGTGTACTGTAACTGTGTGGTTCTGTGATGTGACTTTATCTACTTTGCTTAACATGAAAGAAGAAAATTCCCTCAAAATCCTTTAGAACTCAGATGGGCTGGATCATCTTTCCCAAGTTGGAGGGCAGTAATGGTCACCCAATCTTTTCTGTTCTGACCACGGAAAAAAGCAAGTTATTAGCTCTGTGCTTTCTCCATAATGGGATCTCTGCATTCGTTTGTTTTAGGAATTTCACCCACTTATTTATGACTAAATTCCTTCTAGTATAGGAAATGGGGTTTATTTTATATTTACTTAGCATTTGGTCTGCTGTCTGTCCCCTAAGTGACAGACATGAAACTGTGTGAGAAAACGCGTCCTAGGTGGTAAGGAAGGCCTTTCTGCTGTGCGACCTATGTAGCTTCTAGTTGGCAGCTCTGGAGAGCCTGAACTTCCAGTGTTGAAATGTGGCAACCCTTTGGGCCCGCCTGCTGCTGGAATGACCTGTCAGCTTGGGTTTCCTTTAGCAGCGAAGCAGCACTTGCAGAGGTATTTTAAATGGGCACCTACTAGCTGATAGCATCAGATCCCTCCAGTTACTTTAAGCTTAATCCTGTTCCTCAGTGTTGGTAACTGTTCTGCACTTAAGATATTCCTTTGCTAATGAACCACTCACAGGGTGGTGTATGCTTAAGTATGGTCATCATTTTACCTGTCTTAAAATTAACTAGGCTGAAATTAAATAGCCCATTATGTTAATATTTTATCTAGTTTTAGCTTTTCCAGTCTCATGCATTACACAGCTCTTAATAACAGCTGGCAGAAGCAAGGAATTTTTTTTCTTTCTTTCAAACAGTCTGTTAATCCTTTTTATAAAAACTAAGGGTCCAAATATTGTAATAGGCTTGGTGTAAGAGAAGACATTCACTTGGAAATGCTACTTCCCTAGTCACGATCATATCTTGGGATTATATGAAAGATACTGCTAAAAGGGCATTACGGGAGGGTTCCAGCATTGAATTACTGGTATTAGTATTCTCATAGTAAATCACACTTCGATCGATTCCATTTCCTCACAGGTGGAACTGTGCTGAGTGCAAGTTGAACCGTTACTCAGGTGGACCAGTAACCGTGCAAGCAGTTGTTGTATTTTTAGTTGCTTCTACTAGCACTTTGCAGCTAGAAAAGGGAGAGCAGAGACTGTGGAGCAAGGAGAGTGGAGAGAAAGAGTAAGTGCGGTCCGACTGTCTTCCCTCAGCCCGAGAGCAATGATGCAGCTGCACCAGCCTGTGTACCAGCTAGCTTACCAGTGTAAATGGCTACAATTAAGATAGCGTTAAAATTAAAAGCAGATTAAGTCTTTAGCCACAAGTAAGTGAGTACCAAATGTAATCGTACCAAAACTGGGAGATACGCAAACTCAGAGAGAGCAGGCTGTTAAGTAACGTATGTGAGATTACAAGGAGTTGAGCAAATCCTTATCCTGCATTAAATTGGGTGAAAAAGAATAACACTAAGGATGTATTAGGAGAAATCAATATTTTTCTAATTTAAGTGAGTGGTACGTTTGTCTTTGAAAGAAAATCAACATTTATGTATTTATTCTGAAGACCCAAGAGGCCAATTACAAATACGTTTAAACTAGTTCCTTCAACTGACTTCTCCACTTAAGAAGTCAAATTCAAGACAAAAATAGTTTCCTCTGTTTCCTTCAGCATTAAAGCTGCGTCCCCTGTTCTCCTGCACTCCTCCCGAAGCAGAAAATCGTCGGTGGCCTCGGCCAGTATGGACCATTGCTGCTCGGGTTACTTATTTGGAACAGGAACAGTAATCCTGGGGAGAGCTGCCGGTAGGTTCAGATGAGATTCAACGAAAGGCGTGGAGCTGAGAACCACGCACCCGAGTCAGGTGCAGGAGTGGCAAGGAAGAATTTTGCTGGACTTCCTAATTAAGGTGGCAGTTTTTAATTAGTATGATTGTAGTACTAGATTAACAGTCTCATCTGAGATGATAAATCAATTTAACAGCACATACATACAAGAGTTTCTTGTCAGCACGGAAGGGAATGGAATTACATAGTCAAGGGAAATACCTAATACAGTGAAGTATCTTGGCTGGCCAAAAGTGGTTTTATATCTCAAATGTTCTTAGGTGTTTTTAAGAAGTTTAATGCATTAATAGATCCCAGGTGGCAAGCAGTTCCTAAGAGATATAGAAATGGGTAGCCTTGCAAATTAAATTTTCCGTGTGCTGTCCTCTCGGATGCTTCTGGCATGGTGCTTTTCTACAGCCGTTGTACTTAGGAGCGCCGGATGGTATTTAAAAGGAGCAGTACTAGCCTTGCCTTTCTCCCGTACTGCTGATGGGATGAAGTATGGTAGGTCAGGGAGATTTTACCACATAGATAGATGCCTTTATAAAGACCTACAATTCTATGCAACTTTCTATTAACAAATAAACATTGAACTGTCTTCCAGCATTATGGTTCACTGCCGATCTATTTACATTTTCTATCTTTATATACACAAGGAGAAACCAGGGCTTAACAGACCTTAATCTCTAGTCTGTAAAAGAAACAGTAATGTTATTTGTATCACTTTGAAGTACACTTTGTATAAAAGTTGAACTAATAAAGGGTCTATACCGTAGTTAATGCAGTTGGGTTCACTTCTTTCTGTTGCGAGGCCCGAGTATCCTCTGTATCAGATGAAATAGTGTACTTCAGGTACGCTGGCCGCTCAGCGCAGGAGGAAGTCATGCATAAACTACACTATAGGGTCAGTGCACGGGAGCAGGTAAGGCTGTGTACTTGTCGCACAGCGTTTTGCCAAATAGAGGGAACAGATAGCCATAAACAAGGCAGGCATGTGATCGAACAGCATCCCTTCTCAAGGGTTTTTTCTCCTGCCTCACAGACGGGAGGTTGTGAGTGGCGTGAGCAGCCGTTTTGAGGGAGAGAAGAGCTGGCGTAAGTTGAAAACTGCTACAAGAGGATGGCAGTCCAGTCCTGTGCAGACAGCAGGATAATAAACTGGCAAGAAGGGGGGGTGGGGGTGGAATTCCCTGTCCATCAACTAAGGGGAATCTCATCCCTAACGCAGGTTTTTCATATACACTGCAAGAGCCCACGTGGGACATGAACATGTAAGAACAGGGAAAACGAGCTGTTCAGAGTTTTGTACTTCCAGAGTTGTAATCGAGGGATGCATTTGCTTAAACATGAACAATCTGGACGTGGGGCACACTAGAGCGCGAATTTGCTGCACACAGTACTCTGCATTAACTGTCTCGAGCATATTCTCTTACCTGATGGGAGGAGTTACTCAGTGGAGGGGAAAAAAGGCTGAAAGCTCACACGTCACCACTATAGAGCGCAGCACATAGCTTGCAGATAACCTGTTTATCTGCTTATACCCATCCATCTGCATCTGGCCTTCAGCCAGTATAGAAGAATAAGGACTGCAGAGCTGCTAAAGATTTTGGACGTAAAAAAGAAGTGCACACAACTTGTCTCACCGTTATCCCACACGCAAACTGCATTTGTCTGTCTGTTAACGAGGACATTCAAGGCAATTCTTACACGTTTCAGCCAGAAGCGCAGCCTTTGTTAAGATTGTCTCCTTTTCTTACCACACACCGGTGCAGACGTACGGTCTGTGTACTCGGCCACAGGACTTCAGGAGGAAGAACCGTGGCACACTGTGGGTCTGTTCTACCCTACTCGCGCCTCCCAAGTGTTGTGTTCATTGGGTAAGCGTGTGATTCACTAAGCAGTATTTTGACATTGGCATTAGACGCTTCCAGTGTTCTGGTGCTCCAGCCAGGAAACAAAACCTGAAAGTTCCTTTTTGGGCAGAGTATAAAAAGCAAAATTTAATGCTTAAAGTGTCATTTACTCATGGTAGGAATCCAGTTTAAAAGAGCAAACCAAATAACTCCAAGTTTTAAACAGCGTTATTTCAAGTTGAATTTATCCAAGAAAGGAACCACTTTGCATTGAACTAAATTTAGTCACAGAACTAAATTAATTTAAAAAAAAAAAACAAAGAAAACATGATAGACGTATACTTCTTTTTCAAGTTTAACTAAATTTACAGAGCTTCCATACATCAATTTAACGAACCCTTTATTTCCTCCTACTTTGAAAATGACTAGTGTGACATACCGTATATTTTGAACTTTCAAGAACCAGTACTGAATATTTACATATTTATTCCATGCTTGACACTTTAGTTTTCATTTCAAATTCCCTGACAGAAAACAAATGATTCATGCTTGACACTTCAGTTTTCAAATTCCCTGACAGAAAACAAATGATTCATTCCCTGCTAGTTTCCAACACAGTAAAGTTTCTGAAGAAATAAAACCACCTTAAACGCATGGTCTAGAGGAGCTAGTCAGCTTTAAAAATATTTATGCAGTGCTCCTTAAAAAAAAAAAACCACACATTAATACCTGTAATGCCTGTGAGAGCTCCACCCATTTTAGTCATTACAATTGCAGTATTAGTGAAATTACATCTTCCTGTTATTTTACCATTCAGACAGTTGTTTGGCTTCCAATCCAAATTTTTGTCCATGTTATTTTAAACAATGTTAAAACGCGTACCTTTGTGAATCGGTACTATTCCCTTTAACTGCACCCACTCAATTAGAAGAAGTTTACTGCTTTCATAAGTTATGTCAATTGACTTTGTACAAACCAAGCACCTCTCCAACAGTGGGACACTGTCCCAGAGTCTCCAGAGAAAGCACACACAACAGGGGCCTTCTGTGGTTCAAATAAAAACCTACTTAATTGAGCCAGGCAGTATAAAGCTAAAAAAACCCCTCCGATTTAAACACTTAAAATAGGGTGTTAAAGTTTATGATTCTAGGCAGACGAGCTGTCCAAAGTACGTTAAGATTATGTAAAACAAGAACATTACAACTAGGCTTTATTTAAGTAGATGAAGACCCCTTTATAGCACTTTTGTAATGTCAAAAGACCAAAGCGTAAGTGAAAAATCGAGCTCGGCTGCGTCTGACAGCGGAGCTCATTTGTAAAAATTGCACATGGCCTTTAGAAAAAGCTACCACTCCTCACCCCATCCAAAAATGCAATAAAAGGCCATCGGGAGTCAGTTAATTCTATGAAATCCATGGAGCCCAAAGGAATGCAAACATGTAAAAAGCTTACTTCAATCACTGAATTTAATATGAAAATAAATTTAGAGGTGAATCTAGTGGTAACGTTTCTTTATGAATTCCTACTTCTCAAACTCTTTCTTTTCGCACTATATCTCAGTCTAATGACAGAAAAATCCAAACCATCTATTCAAGGGAAGGTTTAATATTACTGCTTCACTATGTGGTTGTTCAGTTTATACATCTGTCTCTATGCCCTCTCCTCAACTGTGTAAGTCGGCGGAGAGGCAGGCAACTAATTAACTCCAGGCCCTCTAAGGGTACGGGTATCTTGCCTTTTAACTTCAAAGCATACTCATGTTTTCCAGTGAAATAACTCTTGGGCTCCTAACGCATGAGCTGGAGTTATGAAGTAAATGCTAGAATGTTATCTGATTCTCCCTGAAGTCAATGACAGATTTTCTACTAATTTTAACAGGTGTGGGATCTTATTTAAGCGTCTAATCACATTACCGAAGATGTACAACAAAAGCCTACATAAATTGCGTTTACATTTGTATTCTTTCACAGATCAATTAATTTCAGTCAATCTTCTATCACCTGCTACTTCAACTGCTGTCAGATGGACCTCACTCATTAATAACTCAGACTGGCTGAAAAAAACCCAAAACAACAACAACAAAAAAAAAAGAACAAAGGGCTAATGGCTCTAAACCTGAGAGAAAAAACTAAAATTGCCTTACATATATATATATTTTTTTAATTTTCTTGCAGTAATAAGTCACACACAAAACACCTGTACCTTTCTTTTGGCACAATGAGTATTTTAGAAGTCCTTCAAGTCTTAACTCAAAGAGGTTCTTTACTGAGTGTTGTCTACTGAAGTCCACAAAAAAATTAAAACATTCTTTCAAAAGGAACAAAAAAAAAAATTTACAATTGTACACAAAAAGTCTTGAATTTTATTGAAATTTCAAGTCTTGTATCAAACAAAAACTTTTCTTCAGACAAAAATATTCTCTGGGTGTCCTCCAGATAGCAGCAGCTCTGAATTGGTCCTTTAGTGCCGCCGCTCTCTTTATCATCTTCACAGAAGTCCGCATGGTTGGGCTGTTCCATTAGGCCTCATTTTATCGTGTGAAGGAACGTACATGACGACCTCTTCCACTGCCTCCACTAACAAACTTTCCTCTTGAGCCACCACTGCTACTACTATTAGCACTTGTCCAAGACGGTCCAATTCCTCCCCGGCCTCTGGAAGCACGATCGCGAGGACTCGGTCGGTAGCCTTAAAGCAAAGAAAAGTATACTCAGTTGGAAAAAAAAAAAAAAAAAAAAAAAGCCCTAGGCGTAGTAGCTGCTGTGAAAGCATAAGAAACAAAAACAAGATGAGACACAAACGGGGTCTGTTTTCTCCTTTTAATTCTCACTTTTCTTTTAGGCAAGCACTTTTTGCTTTGATTGGCTCTATAATTACCATGTAGGTACGAAGACAACTGAATTGCAAAAATCTGAATGCAAAATTAAGATTCTGCGATCAAGTGTTCAATTCAGCAACTTTTATGGATTACAGGGCAGTTCGTATGAAAGCATGTATTTGACACAGTCTCAGTGACAACTGTTCATATATGCTTAAAACATTTGCTGAATTTCAAGGTGTCTGCAGCATCCTTGCATGGTTTCATTTGTAAAGAGAAAATGAAATTCAAGGAATTTCCTATAGTTCGATGCCCATATGAATACCATGTACCTGCTGAACTTAATGGTCTCAATGGTGGCAGTGGACCCCTGTTAAAATTGCTTTGACCACCTCTACTGTCATTGTAGGTTCCCCTGGGCGTACTCTGTGCACTCCAACTTGAGCCTCGAGCGCCTTCACGACGACTGTAATTTCCTAGATAGGGAGAGAAAAACCCACACGCTGTTGAGCAAACACCACTTTTTTTTTTTTTTTTCATTTCAATCTTCACAATAGTCAGGGTGGTAAACATAATGTTTACATAATTCAAATAGATAAAGCTACTCTGCATCAACACAGCCTCAGTATTCTAACTTATCAAAGTCTACAAGTTACTGGATTGTATTGTATGCAGAATCAGGGGAAAAAATCTATTTTTAAGACATGAACTCAAGTTTTTTTTTTTTTTAAATTACATTATCTAGTGCATTAAGATAGACTCCTATACCTTAAGTTTTTGTTGTAAAATAAATCCTAGTATTTATAATTTTACTAGATGGAAGTATTTTCTGTTTCTACCAGGCAAGGACTTGCCCTAATTATGGAATCGAAGGGAAAGAAATGCAACCTTGTCTATATATGAAAGAGACTTAACACTCTGTAGCTAGAATCTCCAGGTTCACTGAAAATTGCATCTTATTCCTGTCAGGATCTTCCATCCTTTTATTCGAAAGCCTCATATAAACCCATTGTGATGCTTGATTTCAGGAACTACCATGTCACAAACGGTAGAGAGGGCTTTTGATTGTTGGAGTGCTTCAGAGATGCAGTCAGAACAGTTGC